ATGCAAGTTTCATTAGTTTGTCAACAGAATTAGGCAAAGTAGTTGTAGGTTCAATTTTCTTCAATGTAATTGAAAATAGTGTTATGGATGGAGCTAACATATGCTCACTGAGTGTAGCTACTCCCACTTAACTCTTTTTGCCATGAAAAATGCTCTAAGTAACTATAAATTACGTACGTGTATATATATATATATATATGTATTCAGAAATGAAATCTTAGTCAAAACACTCAACTCAAAATACATTCTCATGTTCTATAATTTTCCTACCCACCCACCATTCTGAGTCATATAATTTTTTCCATTAACTAATGTTTATAATTTTATCGTTTTAAACACTAGATATCTAAAATTATGTTGTTGGACAATAAGTTAATAGAGTGTATCAAAATTTTAATTTAATTTCATCAAGCCTCAACTAAGAATATTTCTGACTCTGTTCGAAGACATTTGATCAATATTCGATATATTTTGAGCATGGTCGAATGACATGACTACATTGAACCTATGCTCCACTCTAACAAGCTAATTGTACGATTGATTGAGCCTAGCTACTTATGAATTATGATCATCACCCCATACTTTAAGGATAAAATTTACAGTTGTATGACATTATGTATGACATTGAGAAATAATGATAATATTTTATAATTTAATTATTTAATACGAAAGAAGATTTGCGAGTGGGTTTGTCATTAAGTTTTTATGCTTTTTTCATACTAAATTACTATATAGTTGAATGTTAAATAATTCTATATAAATGATTAATTACTGAAAGCACACACTAAGTTGAAGCTTATGATTAATGAAAGATATGCGGATTACTTTTCTTTTAATATCATCATCTTCTTCTTTTTTCACCTTTATTATTTCCAAATGAAAACTTAGTGGTCTTTCCCTTCCTACTACAAATCGACAACCAAAGCAATTAAGAGACATTGATGGAATCTAAAGCAACATTAGCCCCCCTTTAATTTATGCCATATTGTATTTATTCTTTAATATTGTTCTTCTTGATGAAGCATTGTACCATCAATAAGATTATTCAATTAAATATAAGGTATTTAATGGAAACGTTATTCACGCCTCCCTTCGTAGGGATGCAATTTTCTTTTGTTTATGCAAGCGATAGTCTAGCCTGAATTACTCGAAATTACGAGGGAAACATAGATGTAGAGAAGGAAGCACGCTCCTTAGTCAATTTGGCTCACTGATGACTGCAAAATTCTTTAGTAAACTGAATTAGCTACAGATGGGGGAATCGAACCTGAAAAGTGCATGAGTAATGCTCTTAACTTTTCCATTTTAGCTATATGGTGGATATAGTGGTGGCTTGATATAGTTAACTTCTTAGTTAGAGACAGTCCACCACACATGCATAGCATACTTCTTAGTAATTCCAATCTAAGCAGTAGACTTGGTCTACTACGCACATGAGTGATTGCTAGTAACATGTATAATTTTTCTAAACAACAGACTCGTGGGGTCTGCTAAAGCTGTATATGCTTGTTTCTTGACCCAACAATATATCTTAACTAATTTAAGGGAGGTGAATATATAAAAAAAATATACCTTAAAAAGATTATGATGTTAAAGAAGGTGCTATAACAGAATTAGAGGGCCCTAATCACCCAATGATTTTTGGTATTTGTCAAAGGCATGGAGCCCTCTCTGTCCCCCTTTTTTGGGGCCTCTGGTTAGGTTGGAGGTCAGTGTATTTAGAGAGGCTCCTGCAGGATCAATGGCCGGTTACCCACATCCAATTAAGCATCTGGAAAATACAAAAACTCATCCATCGATCGAATGCAATTATTACAGTTGAGAACAAGATGCTCCAGATACACAAGTTGATTAGTGTGGCCTATCTTTTGGAAGCAGACCCTCCCCTTTTTCCACTCATGCTTTCAGTTAGAGTCAATGTGTCAAAACAAAATGTTTTCCGGCTCCAACTTTTCACATTGCAATTTCAATGTAACTATTTGGATTTTGGACCACTCCGATAACTTCATATTATGTTACCAAATTATTAATCCGAATCACATTTATACACATAAAGTTAGTTTTGGTCTCTTGAGCTTACATTCGAGCTTTAATTCGTAGGGCATGCCTATGTATTCACGCATTCTTAAAAAGGAAAATTAATGAAAAATATTTGAAAACTTTGAGTTTTAACAATAAAAACAAAATAAAGGGTAAAGTGAATAGTATCAGGATTGATTTTGTAGTGTAAAAATATGATTTTTCATTAAAATAAACAGTACCAGATGTTTTTCTTTAAAGTTCCCTTCTTAAAATCAAATAGCATGCACGTCCGGATTTATCACATACGGTTTAAGTTAAAATCGTACTCGTATCACTTAATCTGGGAAAAAACTGAAGAAGTGGAAATTAAGAAGTTAGTTCAACGTCAAGCTTCTTTCTTCTCCGTTTCTGCTTTTGACTGGTGATGAACTTAGTTGGAAACCAATTGGTGTTAAACACTATTAACAAGTCAAAGAAGAGAGAGCCGCCTAACAGCACCAAAACTTATGGGTAATGATTTTTTAAGGTCTGTTATTGGACGGTGGGGGTTTGGTCTGGTAGGGACTTGTGTGGAAATTCAAAAAAGAAAGAGAATTCTTCACTAACATGTGATTGTTTGTTGTGTGTTTGGAATGTAGGGCTGAATGTCTATGATGTTCTTCCTTTTTCGTTTGTGGCTGCTTGCTGGGATTTTAATAATTTTTAATTTTTATTTGGGTTTAATGAAATCATCAACTTTTCATAAAGTAGAGAAGTAGAAATTTTGATCACCAACCAACCGCATTGGCCGAAAGCTCTTCCGTGATCTGACGTAGATCACTAGACCTCACTCATCTCTCTGGTGAAAATGATTGAATTCAACCTGCAAATAATGACTAGAAAACCAATAGATTTGGACCGCCACTTCTTTTTGTCTTTTGATACAAGCGATATTGGTTAGGAGAGGACAACTCTTACCGAGGATCGCGGATGCAAAGGTCAAGGCTCTAAAATACTTTGAGTTACAAGCCTAAGGCGTTTGCGCTGCAACTTAATGTGCTTTTCCTAAGGGTACTATCATTTCTTCACGAGAATGGCGGATGCAAGGGTTAAGGCTCTAAAATACTTGAGCTACAGTCACTCAGTACTACGGTCTATTAGTATTTCTCTTCACTTGTGAGTGAGAGGTCTTAGGTTTGAATCTCATGGATGACAAATTTGATACCAAATTAGATTGCCCATTGTGTGGTTTAGCCGAACTCCTCGTTCCCTTAATGTAAAATATATCGTTGTACTTAAAAAAAAAAAAAAAACTTAAGCTACAAGCCTAAGGTATTTAGACTGCAACTTAATGTGCTAATCCAAAGGGTACTATTCTTGTTCACGAGTATCCCGGACGCAAAGGTTAAGGCTCTAAAATACTTGAGCTACAAACCTAAGGCATTTGGACTACAACTTAATGTGCTTTTCCTAAGGGCACTATCATTTCTTCACTATTTAGTAATGGCAGTTCAATAAATATTGTGTCGGATAATGGTACTACAAATTGATGCCTATATATGAGGAAACAAACTGGTGTTAGAGTAATTTCTAAACAAATCAAAAATGAAATTTATTAAAGGAAAAATTGTTACTGCGATGCATGTGATGTGAGAAATTGATATTTTGAAATATACAACCAATCACAGAGTAGATTTTACCAATCATTAAGTTTCGTGATATGCGTAGTGGTTAATTATCAAATTGAAAGAGCTAATCACGAAGGATGATAGCAAATGATTTAGTGAGGCTCTCTAATAGTAGTGATAGTGATGTGGAAGAAAACAAAACTGAAAGGGAACATTGAGAAACATTAAAAGATTGACAGCAAATACACTCTTGATCACATTTGCTAGAAGAACTTAGAAATGTTTCTAGGTATCATTTTCTAAAAAAAGCACTTGAAGAAGCTCTTGTGATAACACACTTTTATAGAAATGCTTATGATACAAGAGTAGTTCCAAACATACCCCTTAATACTTACTTACAAGATTGGTGGTGATTGCGACTATCTTTAAACAACATTGCTTAGTTCCTTACATGTAAGGAGTCATTCCTCCTCACATGACGTCATTCTTTGTATAAACTTCATAATCCTAACTATTTATTTTCTTATTATCATCTAAAATCATCTCTTCAGAGAGTTACACTCGATTTAGAGACCGCTTAGACTCCATGTGATCAAACGCATCAACAATTAATCATGAGAATATTACGTGTTACCATAACCGTCGACTTATTGACAAATATGATGGCTAAACAGTTTTCAAATCTAATGACATTTTCTACAGATAATCTTAAGTGAGGAAGAAGAAGCTAACCAATTCAGATTATGATGTGTATACGATTAAATGAAGTCACGTAGTCATATTAAGGAACGATAATCCCTTTCTTATAGGGAGCTAAGTATTATCATCTAAAAGCATCTCTCCAGAGAGTTATACTCGATTTAGAGACCGCTTAGTCTCCATGTGATCAAACACATCAACAATTAATTATAAGGATATTACTTATTAACATAACCATCGACTTATCAACAAATATGATGGCTAAACAGTTTTCAAATCTAATGAAATTTTCCACAAATAATCTTAGGTGATGAAGAAGAGACAGAACAATTCAGCTTATAATGTTTATACGGTTAAATGAAATCACGTAGTCATATTAAGAATCAATAATCCATTTCTTATAAGGAGCCAAGTATTATCCATATTTAAAATTCCACCACCTTCTTGAATTGGGGTTCTCATATTCATATTTGAGAATACGGTTAACCTGGTTTCAAAGCATATGGTTACGGGCTAGCAAATCTAGTTACAACTTTGGGCCTTGAAATTAGAGAAAATACCGAGCCCATTGGACTTCAACTGGGCCTCTCCTCCTCCTTCTCCCTTCTCCCGCTCTTCGGAGGGAAGTTCCCCGACTAAGCCCACGTGTCTGCACATTAGGAACAAACTAGTGACACGGTCACGGATATGGCGGTGCTGACTTCACCGCTTTTAAACTCACCACCGCAATCTTTTCCTCCATTCCTCCGACGAACTCGAACCTCCAAAACAACCGTCATCCGCTCATCGTCCTCCTCATCAGTATCATCACCGATGGACCCTCACCCTCCAAAACGAGTCGTCGTATGCGGCGGCGGCGTCATCGGCGTTTGCGCCGCTTACTTCTTATCCAAAAGAGGCGCCGCCGTCACCCTAGTCGAGAAATCCTCTGTCGCCTGCGCCGCCTCCGGAAAAGCGGGCGGATTCCTCGCCCTCGATTGGTGCGACGGTAAGCCCCTCGCCTCCCTCGCCCGCGCCAGCTTCCATCTCCACCTCTCGCTCTCTCAAGAGCTCGACGGCCCCAAATCCTACGGCTACCGACCCCTCACCACTCTCAGCCTCACCGTCTCCGAATCGGAGACTTCCAAACCCTCCGGAAAGTCCAATTTACCGTCTTGGGTCGACGGGCCGGCTCGGAGCCCCAGAACCATCGGGACCGCGGAGACCACGGCGCAGGTCCATCCCCAGCTCTTCACCAGAGCCTTAATTTCGAAAGCGGTTGAGGATTACGGCGTAGACGTGGTCATTGGGAAATTGGAGACTGTGGGAGTGGAGAACGGGCGAGTTAGCTCGGTGGTTTTGGAAGGAGGGCGAGTGATTGACTCGGACGCCGTCGTTTTAGCAATGGGGCCGTGGTGCGGGAAATTTGAGCTGTTGTCGTCACTGTTCAGAGTGTACGGCCTCAAAGCGCACAGCATTGTGCTGGAGCCGAAAGAAGCAGAGGCCATAACGCCTCATGCGCTTTTCTTGAGCTACTATCCGTCTCAGGGAGGGAAGCCATTGGACCCTGAAGTGTACCCCCGCCCCACAGGTACCAAAGTTCAAACCTTCTCATCAATTTCCTAATCAAAGTATCCGAATTTCGGTTTATTTGATTGAAATTTTAGGAGAAATTTGAATAGAAAGTACATGTTTTGATCACTTTTCTTATCTGGGTGTATTCCATTGTTTGAATTCATTTGATTAACGCAAGTAAAAAGTTTGCATTATGATCAATTTTCGTAATGCTCAAGTAGTTTGCTTGCGAACTAAGGTTTCGCAAACAAGACAATGGCTACCAGTTCTGAACCGTGCTCGAAAGTCGAACCCGAACGAGTAATTCTTCAACTCCCTCGAGTAGTCAAAACTTTAATAGCCGACAAAATTGGCTAGGTTACAAAGTTTCCTCAGATTAAATCATCAATCCAAAATATTGGAAGTGCTATTTGTTCAGAGTTAAGTAGAGTAAGAGCAAAGGAAATAATAAATGTAGAAAAGGTCACTGTAGATATAAACCCATATTTGTTTCATTTTGGGTTCATCCTTTTTCATCATACGTGGCTCCGATTCTGCGTCCGGAAAATGTTTTAACTTCAAAAGGGCTAATCTTGCATGAGCTTAATAAGAGCTTATTTTAAGTATAACTAATTGATTGATTGCTTGCATGAATTGTCAGGTGAGGTGTATGTGTGTGGAATGACAGCAGAGGAAGAGGTGCCAGACGATCCGGAGCAAATAGTGGGCAAATCGGAATCGATAGAGGTGCTGAAGAGGGTGGCAGGCACTGTGTCAAGCCATTTGAGGGGTGGACAGGCACAGGTGAAGGCAGAGCAAGCATGCTTTCTGCCATGTACTGATGATGGTGTGCCTGTGATTGGGGAGGTGCCTGGGGTTAAGGGTTGTTATGTGGCTACTGGACATAATTGTTGGGGGATTCTTAATGGTCCTGCCACTGGAGCTGCTGTAGCCGAGCTTGTGCTGGATGGGAAAGCTAGCATTGTAGACCTCAGTCCGTTTAGTCCGGCCAGATTTTGTGGGCGTAAAGGGTCAAGACGTTGATCTGCCATACAAGAGTGAGGAAGTTGTACTTCTATATGTAAGGTAAATATAGCTCCAATTTCATTTTTATCTGAAAGTGTCAAGCAGACAACATCCCCCATACTCTCGAGGTCGATTTTGCTTATCTGTTTTTGTATCCCTACTTCAATGATAGTGTATTAAAAACAAAAGCTTGAAAAACCGATTTACATCAGTGTCAAATGAACATATATTTTTAACCCATCGCTTGCATTTTTTATCAGCCTCAAAATAGTATCTGCATATGGATCATGGATGTAGAGTTTATGAATGGTGGAGTAGTTGAATCCTTTTGGTTAGGGAGGGGCTGTTTATATAGTTATGTGAAGTGTTTAAATCTAGGAAATTTCGATATGTCGATGGAGACCCTTTCTAATTTTGCAATGTGTTTGTTGTTCATCCTTCAGTTTGGAAATTCAGGCTTCAACCAAGTCTTTTGTGTCCTGTCCCGAAGTGCAGCTTGCTATACAATTAATTGCAGCGAGAAAGCAGCAGCAGTAGTGAGCCAGCAAGCAACTGGGCGAAGTCTGCATGACAAATAAGCAACAGTAAGCAACATGGTAGTTGGAAAAGTAGTTGGAGAGTAGTGTCAGGAGTTAGTTTGCTGTATGTTGTGTTATTCGCTGTAATTATTCCCTACTCTGTGAGAACATTGTAAAGTAATGGGATTACAACATTGCTCGAATAAACTATAAACTAAAAAAAAACTAAAAATCATGCATCCTAAATAACGTCGACCCCTTATCACTATTAAAAGTTATTGGATATTAAGTATATTGGTTTTTTAGCCAAAATGGTCTCTGAGATTTGCATAATTCAAAAATGGTCTTTGAGATTTGCATAACTCAAAATTGGTCTCTGAGATTTGAAATCAATAGAAGTGGTTTATGAGTTTGTCCACCATAAAAAATTGTAAAATTGGTCTGAGTTTGTCCTCCATGAAAAATTGTAAACATAACACCAAAGAAGAGCTCATCACAAGGTTTATTTCTATTTTTGTCCTAGTTGATTATGATTCGAAATTAGGGCCAAGAGGTCCTTCCAACAATACAAGGAGAGCGTTAATTGTTATTACTGAGGATTAACCTTTGTGTCTACAAATATTATTGACGTAAAATAGATATATATCTCTCGAGAAATGCTAAGGAAAGTCTTAAAAGTGAGACTCGTTGTAAACTTTTTGTCACTTTATGTTTTTGACACAATTTTCGAGCTAACATTATAAAAATTGTGCTAAAAACGTGAGGTGGCAGAGTCCAAAAGAGCAACTTTGGAAGTCTCCTTAGCTTTTCTCAAAACGCAATCACAGTGATGTTCCCTTGTACGCACGTAAGTGTCATGACTGAGTTTTGATTTCTGTGATACGAGGTAGAGAGAATCAAATGCAACCGAGATATCTAGTTTTTCTCTTTTTTGTTCGAAATATATAAGTTTTTCTTGCAATGCCATCAAACCCTTGATTTGGCGAGGAAAAGTGGGTGATATGTATATGACTCTGGCCTGAAATATTGGATTGGGCTGAAGGTGGATAATTCAAGATAGGGCTTAATTCACGGGTCAGTGATATGTTTTTTATGCCAGATGGTTTTCAAATATTCAATCCACGACGGATTTGGTCGAGTCCTACCAAGGAAGTCTTTTAAAAGACCGTAAAAAGGTGATTCGGCTGGGTTCTTGTTGAATTGTTTTAAGAATCAAAACTCGTTGTGATAAGATAAAGAATGTATGTAAAGCATAAAAGGACTAGGTTCAGAGTCCTAGTTCTAGTCGAAGTGGTCGAAACCTCGTGTAGAGTGGTTTTGGCAAGTGATAAGACAACGTTGATAATATCCATAGAGACGCCGATGAAGCATAGGTCTAATGGGACTCTACTTAGGCATACTTGGTCATCATGAAACTCACCCGTATAAATAGATGTGAATCTACAACGTGAAAAGGGCCTTCAACTCAACATACAAATGCTCTGCACAAAACTCGCTCTACGCGAACCTCTCTCATACTATTACAAAACCACTAACTTCCCTAACTTTGTCAACGCACCTTCAAAAACCACTAACTTCCCTAACTTCGTCAACGCACATTCAGTTTGGATTAACAACACTACGTTGACAACTAGTGACATCTTTAGTTTGGAGCAACATCACTATCTTGAGTTCGACTGATTTCCTACCTAAGTCTCTATCGAAGACGAGTCCTTGATTCTCTTGTTGAAAGATGTCGTCTCATTAGCCTCTCGGCAAGATTACCCAGTGTTCAACACATTGAAAGTCGAACCTTTATTGAACTTTGTAGAAACTCGCAACCTTATCTTCAGGTTCTAGGACCTAAGGTCGATGCGTGTTCCTTCCTCGCCCCTGATCATTTCTATATAGAAGTCAGCAGTGCGTTTGACACCACCACCACATTCATTTTACTTTCCAACTGAGCTCAGTGGTGAGGTGGCATGCCCACATTCACCATAACAACGTAGTTAGCTCATTAATTACTCAACTTGCGTACCCCCACAGACTATGTAGTTTTTAGGTTCAATAATGACCTGGGCCAATATTCTGGCTTAATAATTTGAGGGAACCCACATGGTGAGGAATGAAATAAAAACCATAAGAAGTCGTTGCGTGTTGACAACTTGACACAGTACACTAACAGATTTAGTACTTTATATATGCAATCCGACTCCCAAACATATTTACCGGAAAGAGAATCTAATTAGTATGAAAAACAAAACTAATGGTAAAATTCACATGAGATGATCAGACTCCCTCAGAGGATGACTTTATTCCCTAACAGATATGAATTTTGATTCCCAACAACAAATGACATAAACTGTATTAACTGCGTGACATAATCCAAAACCCCATATACCATATTTGTTAATCCCTAATATGCAGACAGAGGTTGAGACAAGGAGCAAGCAAAACCATGTTGCTTTTCATCAAATGGCACAAAGCTGATTTATCAAGTTAAATAACTCCTCCGCTGCTACTATTAGATCATTTTTAACGGAGATGTGTAAATGTAAGATGTAAAAGTTACATGTACATCTTATATTCACATTTAAAAAAAATGTAAATATGAGTTTTACTGTAATGATTTGATATTCCATCATTTGGAAAGCTTTTCGACCAACATAAAATGTAAAATGAGCCTACATTTTGCCTCTATATTTAAAATGCTCTTAGAATATTAAAGCAATCAATTAAATTAAGGACGAGGTGTGATGAGTTGTAGTGACTTTGTGCTCACGGGGTCGACTACTTCACTTATCGAAGCTTGACCACTTCATTTCCTGCCTCACTCACTCCGATGCTTTGATGTTCAATCTTCATTGTAAAATATATGCGTAATTTATAAGTGACAATGCACGTGCTGTTACAGCTTAGTTTAGTATTTCGATTGGATTCACATTCAAGTGGGCTGGTTATTAAATTGCCAGGTACATTCTTGCATCTTAGTCTTATCTTGTAATTTGGTTTGATGATCGAAACTGCTTGTCTTTTAGTCCAACTCAATGTTTTCACAGAATTATTATATGTTGAGAGAGTGAATATCACGTTAAGAGATCATTTCTGTATTTATATATATCGAGTTAGATTACTTTTTATATTGTCAATTGGTTTTATGATGGAACCTCAGCTTCATTTATGATATACATAGGTTAACTCACGTGCCGCCACATCATTCTATATATTTGTTCACATATTGGGCTTAAATGGTCCTATACATAAGGAGGCACATTGAGATGTGAATCCTAGATTAGAGAATTAAGAGAATTTTTCCATGTACTTGTAAGAAATTGGATTTTTTTTTTCATATTGTCAAATTGATTTTACGATGACACTTCAATTTCTTTTCTTATATTTTTAATAAATAGCTATAAGCAACTTCTAATTTCGTTATTTTTTTGTAAATAATCTTTGAGGAATTACCCCAAAATCGAATGATTACCAAACAATGTTGTAGAATGGAAAAGAAAAAGGAGAAGCATGTATAAGAGCAAGGTACAAAAGGAAACAATTAGCATTTCACCTTTTCCTTTTTTTTTTTTTTCATTACAACGTACAAATTGAAAAAACCTAGCAGCGCGGTCCCTCTTTTTCTCTCGTGCGAAGAATAAAAAGAGCACCTCACCGTCGATCCCTTTCTAAGGTCGAGGTCGGTTGCTTCTTCTCAGCAATTTCCTTTTTCATTTTCCTTTCTAGAATCTCAAGCCATGCCTTCGTGGATGGCTTGTTTCCTTGGCATTCTATCCCGCCACAAAGGGCTATCTAAATTGATTATTTTCTACCGATAAGCTCCAATTGAATCATAGGAATTACAAAATTGATGATAATAACTATAATGCCAAGGAAATTGTCGATTTGAGTCGTACATTATTAATTTTATTATTGATCTTGTTCAATTTATTAAATCTGATAATCGAAAATTAAAAACGGTATGTAAAAGATAAAAATAAGTATTTAAATAGCATCATCTTAAAATTTATGTTGGTTTCGGGAAAATAAAGGCAATTTTCTTTTATGTAATTTTTTTTTGGGTCGACTCTTTTATGTTCTAATAATTTGTTCAGTCAATTAAAAAATTCAAGTGGTGTTTGGTCAAATTTGCTTATAAGTATTTCTAAGAACTGGTTTACAAAGGCTACGCGTGGCAAAGACAAAGGCAAATCCAGTGCTAGCTGCCCTACCATGCATCTGAGAGTATCGCAGCGCCATACTTTAATAGCCCTCTATTAATTATTGTCATTGGACTGTTTTGCTGTCCAATCTTGCGATTTATCTGTCTGTCCCTCTCAATCAGTTGCCACATGCATCGTCTCATGTTTAACTGTTTTTTTTTCTTTTCAACCAAGTGGTAAAGTAAATTTTTAACTCTTTTGATGATTTGCAGATCATTTTTGGTGAAACAGTGGCAAGTGATAGAACAAGCATCGTAGTCTCTCTATGGAAGGTGATGTCAAAAAATATTTAACCTTTTATTTTTCTCAAAGTTTGAGAACAATTTAAAATTCTTAGCTGGTAAAATATGGACTCGGTTTCTCTGCCCTTTCAGTCTTCATATATTTTCATTATCTCTTATTTTGTGCGATCACGGTTAAATTATGTCAACATTTTATATTGATTTTTTTTTATAGAAATAATAAGACAAAAAATAATACTGATATAAAATGTTGATGTAACTTAACCGTGACCGCACAAATAGAAGAAGATGAGAATGTATGGGAACTGGAAGGGCAGAGAAGCCAGGTCTGTAAAATATATGACTTACATGTAGCGTTGTGTTATTCATCCTCAACATCAAAGTTGTCAAGAACTCTGTAAAAACAAGTCACATGCTTCTGAGAAGACATTGTGTTGGGGAGATCTGCATCTCAAATCCACCTCTTTCTACAGTACTATTGTGCAAAGTCGAAGTTTAAGATTAGACTTTAATTAAGGATGATTTAAGGAATATTTTTGTCTATCACCCTCAAGTGATAGTGATGTTTATCATCCTATTTATCATCGTTAGATGAGTTTAAATGTTGAGATCTACGTAAAGGATAGACACAAATCTTAAAATTTAAATTCATCTAGTGATGATAAATAGAGTGGTGAGAAAATGCACCAATGATTTATGGGTTCTAATCCACTTGATGAAGGCTAGCTCTAATAACAATAGAACTCAATTGATACCATAGAAAGCAAGTGGCCCTTTACCATAGTAATGGTAATGAGTGTTGCACTTGCAC